ACGCTGAGTCTCTCAGGTGCAGCAGTTTTCATGTGGAGCCAAAGAGAGATCAAACCCTCATTCGTCCCCCTGGTATAACTTGTGCTACTTCAAACAAAGTGGCTGTTTAAACTGTGATTGTGAACACCTGCCTTTAGAGACCCATCAAAGGTGAGCTACAGTAACCTGGCTTGTGAAACCCTGGGAACTCCTTATTCTCACTACAAAGAGAATCAGAGCGCCTGCCCTCATGAACTCTGGTACACATTTGTGTACCAGTACTGCACCAAACAATAGAACTTCAGTGTGTGTGTTTTTTTTTTTCACTAGGCCTACAGTTTAATTCAGTTTAATTCAATTTTATTTGTATAGCACCAAGTCACAACAACAATCATCTCAGGGCACTTTACATAGTAAGGGCTAGACCTCAAAGTATTATAGAGAAAAGCCAATGAATATCCCTTGAGCAAGCACTTGGCAACAACGGAAAGGAAAAACTCCCTTTAACGGAAGAGACCTGGCTCTTGGTGGGCGGCCTTCTGCCTCAAGAGGAGAGAGAAAAGAAAGAAAAGCTTCAGGACACAACAAACAAAACAAGAAGTCACCAGCCTAGGCCTATAACTAAGGGATTGGCCACTTGAAATTATTTCCTGCAGTCTCTACTGGTGACAACATATTTTTTGACGCTGGACAGGTGCCAGTAGGTGGATTTAGTTGCCTTTGGTTAGTGCCAGGCTAGATGTTTCCTTGTTAACTGTCTTTATGCTAAAACTAAGCTAACTGGTAGCTGAGGGTAAGTTCATAAGTGAGAGTGTGAATCTTCTCATTTAAATGTAAAGCAAATCCTTTTTACATTGCCTACATGAATGCAAATAGAAGAAAGTGGTATTGGATGCTGTTAGTGAGCTATGGTTTTTGTTTGTGTAATTTTAGATTGTTTTTGTGTTTGCAAACCTGCCTCCCCCCGTCGCCCTTGAGGGATTTAAATAGTGCAATCTAACTAACTTTTTTGAATTTGCACTTCTAAAAAAATGTTTACCCAAAAATAGATTTAGAAAAGTACATACTGTCGTAATACCTGGAAGCTGATTGCATGTCTACCTTGAGTCATCACACAGCTGGCTGGTTCTAGTTAATGTCCTCACCGTGACAGAGTGGAATGTTTGCCAGATGAGGGGCCTTTGCTGATGACTCACCTAGGTCAATTCTGCCTGCCTGAGGGGGGCAAGACAGAAAAGGAAAAAAGTTTTGCCAGAAAAAAAATAGAAAGACCACTGCACCCTCAGATGAATGGGTTCAAGGGGGCTATATCACACCTTGCAGATTCAGTTACAGGAAGGCTAAAATGAATACAATAGGCTCAATATACAGTATATGAGAACAAAAAAAAAAACAACGGGATAATGGGTCCAAAATACTGCAGGTCCATACAGAACCTCAGGCTGACTCCGTGGGTGAGCACAGTGCCAGCATGAATTTGTCTGGGATACAATGACGTCTCATGTTACTGCTAAAAATCCCCATTTGAGACAAAACCATTTGTCAAGGCCCCTCATGGGAAAGGGGATTCACATGTCCAGATTATTCCTCGCTTTTCAAAAGCAGAGACTGACAGTTCAAAAGTACACAGTGACAGGCTGGCTGAGCCTTTCCTTGATGACACATGCAGTAGTAATGACAGTATTGTAGCAGTGTGTCAAGAGTCACATTTCATCTCAAAGACAAGCAGAAGTCATACATTTTTATTCAATGAACTCACTAACCTTATGTTATTTTGTTTTGTTTTGTAGCTTATGTGAATGTAGCTTATGCTTGTTAAAAAAGAAAGCCAGCTCTGTTATGGAAAATACAGAACATGAGACATTAGAAAAATGGGAGAAGGAATCCACCTGCTGGCCAACTAAAGGAAGCATCACATTTATCAAGCAAGTAGTTCTCCAGTTGGGGTAATATTTCAAAGAAAATATATTTTACATGACATTTTAATCTGTCAGCTGCCCTGTTCAGCAAGTATCATTAATTATGTTCCTGACCTAATTCTTGTTTGGCTATTATTTTAGCATTCAGCCACCAATTCATTAAATCTACATAACAGAAAGCATTTGATATGTTAATAACTTGTTTGTTTTTCTTGCTGGAAATCTGGAAATCCCCTCCTTCAGTAAACAAAACTGGATTCTCTTGTGGATAAAGGAAAAGCAGAATTATCTTTCAGAACTTGTATTTGTGGTTATTAGCTGACGGTAAACAAAAAGGCCGGAGCTGCAGAATAAATATGTTTTAGTTCTCAGATCCATGCATGGAGACGGTTCAGATCAATTCAAAGACGGGGCAAAGCTGTGGGAGAGTCAAAGGAGTCTTTCATCTTGACACCATAACCATTGATGTGTCTGTGCTTTCATCTCCCCCACCCATGTAGCTCCACCTCTCTTAGCACGGTTCACTTTACCCTCCACATTCACAGGATCAGCCAAGGAGCAACTTTCCCAGTAAGACACAATGGGAATCCATTTCCTCCCTTTGGTACATAGGGAACATTAATACAAATTTTAAACAAACAGGCTGCAGTTTTGGCTTCCTAGTCAAATATTTTTATATCAACATGGAAAAGAAAAAGCTCTTAAAGTGCCTAAAAATAGAAATTAATATTTATATCTGCATTTCCATGAAATATAATAAACACCATCTGCTCATGTGGTTCATGTCATATGATAAAAAAAAACTCTAGAACAGATACTAAATGTACCTTAAATAATCATGAAACACAAAGTAATAACATATTGTTTTTTATATATAGTTATTTATTTAGGCCATACAGCAGGTGAACTTAATTTTGTTGTTAAATAATTTTTGAAAAGCCTGGTAAATATTGGTATATCTTCTCCATTACTATTTTTTTTTACTGTACAATCCAAAACCGTGTCAATATGTTTAAATTTAGTTCTAATCACACTGGCAGGACAGTTTTTGACGCAACCTATTACACCAAGTGATTTGGCATTTTGAGTTTCAAGCCATACAGAATGTTTCCCAGCCTCAATGAAAGTTTATTATTCAATGCTAGTATGTTTATCTGTCTCTTCGTGTATTGAATCTGTTTTAAATGGTCTTAAAACATAATACCAGCTCTGAAGTGAATGGACTGATGTGAACACTGGATTATATTCACGTGGACTGTTTTGTACTGTAGCCAAAGGAAAAGCGGTTTTCTAAAGAATTTCATAATGGATAATGGATAATTGTGCACTGGTGGTGCATTTTGTTTAAACAGTCAGGTTTCTGCTGAAAAGAAAGGTTGACATTAACTTTGCAAGCTAAACATGGCCTTCACTGACTCTTTGCTGTCTTGTCTACCTGTTCCCCTAAAGACCACCTGTCACTGTACTACATGGTGAAGCAACAAATCTTTTCTTTTTTGTTGTGCTTCTTAGGGAATAATGCATGACCATCAGTGACAGACTATAAATACAAAGCAGCAATGCAGTACAGTGCTCCATTTTTCATGTTTTTTATGCTATTTACAACTACATTTTGTTTACAGGGAGTAACTCTTGCGTGACTTTATCCCGACATACAGGGGGAAAACCAGATGATGTTCAATGTCTGATAAATAGTTAGGTAAAAGACTACCAGGTTTCATTAGAAACTGCACAAAGAGATGCTTGAAATAACATAGTGCATCTATTAAAAAAAGAAAAAGAAAATCCATCAATGCTTTAAAGGCATGAGAAAACCCACATTGTGGGTTTTCCTCTTTCTTGACTATCTTGCTTATTTCACCAGAGAGCAGAGTGATTTTTTTTTTTTTTTCATTTAGAGAAATTTCTGCAGACTCAAAAGATGTCAGATGTTTCCTCACCATCATACCTCTGAACCAGGACACCTTTTAAAATACTGCACTCCACACAGAAATGCTCCAGAACATTCAGTGTCTATATAACACTCTGGGTTCTTGCCTGTCTTCTCTTTCTGATGCTCAACCATGTGAGAAAAAGATGTCAGATGAGTGTAAAGCTTCACACTATTTAAAATAGATTCCATCTGTTCTCTGATTCTCTTTTAATCCTACTGGGGTTGACAGAGCAGTCCATTTCTCACTGTTTGTCTTGAGGTCAATGGAAAAAAGCATACTGTGTATTTTAGTCCATCTCAGCTTAAAGGTTTGTATGTATTTCAACATTTATTTAAGACTTTGACAAGTCACTCCATCCCAACCCCGTACCTTGCTCTTATTTATCCTATCTTATTACTTATGTCAGGCAATTTCATTGGCAGGAGCCCTAGCATAAACGGTAGCCGGTACAAATATGGACGACGTGGTGTGACAGCTTCCAGAGGTGAAATCGCCACAAGTCGATCGCCCCTTGGTGGCTGGTTGCACTATAGAGCAAAAACATTTGAATTACAAATTAAAGAAATTCTCAGGGGGGATTTCTGTAGATATTTTCATGCTGATGTGTACAAGTGATCATTATTCTCATACGTTTGTTTTAATGATTTGACAGCTTTGATTGGTGGCCTATCAGGAGCAGTCACTGGCAGATTGCCACAAACAGGGCAGCTGCCGCTGAAAGTGGGTGGTATCTATAGTTGCCACCGGAAGTGCCACCCCTAGTTGCTGCTGCCTAGAGTGGATTAAGAAGGAGAGTGACAACATATCCATGAATTCTATAAGGAATTTTTTAGCAGATCATGGGAGTGTTGAAGTTTTAAACAGGTACTTAGCTAACTATCTAAATTAGCTGAGCTATCTACAACAGCTGAATATAGAATTGGTTTGCAAGGCTGTACAAGTAATAAAAATAGCAATTGCTGGCTGATAAATCCCGCTATTCCCGTCAGAAAACAATGGATCTTAATGAGTCACGTGACCCGCTGCCATTTTGACACGTCTGTCGCAACTCTTATATCTTCATGGCTCTGGGGCTGCCATGCCTTATTGCTGTTATGATTGGCTGAGCATGTTTGAGTCATCTGTTCGTCGCTTAGCAACCACGTTGTTTGGTCGCTGGTGAAGAGATGGATTTAGTGGTAAAATAATAAAACTAAACAATTTCCTATGAAAATAAAGGTTATTTGTAGTTATAGTGACAACCCAGTCTGTAAATATAATTGTGTGCTGATGAAGATTTATAGGTATTTCTTTGATTTATAGGCTATCGTGGCTTGTGGTATGATTACGTTATTGGGTTACTTTTTTAATCCTGCGATATTCAAGCAACTACGCACGTTTTCTTCGTTCGTAAAGCGACTTCGGCATCACGAAGATATGCCAAGGTAACCTATAAATCCCTCTTCACTAAAACAGACCACTGTCCCTTTAAGGGCTAAGTGGCAGGGCTAGCCGATGTATGATTAGCCGACCGTGCCTGCCTGCGCTCCCGCTGCCATCCCCATCATGACCCCCACACAGTCGGCACAACTGAGGATGAACGGACCAGCCAGGGACCCTTCCCTTACCGGAGCGGAGACGAACGTCAAGCCGAAGCAGAGGCACCGGTAGAGGCGAGCCGCGCCGGGGAGAGCCGCCTCACATCCCATGGCACCCCGGTCTCCTCATGCCTTCGTCTAAAGCCAAGTACAACTACTCGATAAAGAGGGGTGCGAACCCGGGCGGAGGCGGCGGCAGAAACATGACAACGGACAGGGATTATTCTGTAAATCTGTCGGTGCAGCAAGTGCTGAGCCTTTGGGTTCAAGGCACGACGCTGCAGCACTTCACAGGTATGCGGAATGAAAGGTGCCGTTATTGTGCTGTTTTCATGTGTTCACACTGAAGTCACTGCTATGGGCAGTACTGTATACGCTGCTGGCATTTTCCGCGTCCATTTTAAAGCAGAATAAACCAGTATATGTGATATTTATGTACACATGCTTAGTGAGCAGAAAGGACAGAGCTGCTTCCATGAGGAGGTTGCATCTGTACCACCTCAGCCCCCCGGATGGTGAATAACTGCTGCTGGTGATGCCGGCCACACATGTGGAGTCAGTGGAAGCCATGAAAATAACCACAGCTAATTTAGTTTTCTGTTGTGTGAATGCACCTTGATAGTGTAGTAAATAAAGTGTTGCCCCCCCCAAATACCCCCCACCAGTCCTGTTATCAGGGAGCAGTTAAAGGCAGTATCCTCATCTCTGTGTAGAATGTATCTGGGATGGTCTAGACTCTAAAACTGGTGATAGTATTTTGACTGTACAGTCAATGTTCTTTTTTTTTTTAGATAAATGTGCTTATTCACTTTTTTTAAGGATGTCAGTCTTTAAAGGAGCTTCAAGGAAGCTGATGTAGGGTTGAAACATGGTCAGTTGAGTTAAAAAAGAATTTAGGAACAAGGAAATGTGTGTAAGCATTTTATCTTCTCCACCCCAGGCAGGCCGAACTTCCTGATAAAGAACTTGACACAACAAGCAATTGCTGGCCACTAATGTGTAATAAATCATTAAGATAAAAAGTGATGCATACAGAAACAGTAGAATTGCCTTATCATATAAACACTAGATTATAGAAGTTGTTGAGTCCCTCCCTGCAAAGTGAGTGTGAGGCAGAAGTTGACATGTGGTCATAAACCCATCTAATGAAATGCAGCTGACATCCTGTGTTGAGAAACAAATTTAGCAAGAATGAAAAAGAGGTAGTTAGTGATCCTGAGTCAGAGGGAACATGCAGTGCATGTAGAAGCTTGCGGTAGCAGAACTGCAGCAGCAAATACAAAGCTGTGAGGAGCTGACAGTTTGGTTTTGGTGTGCAGGGTTCATGAAACTGCCACCTGATCCCGCTCGGCCCCACAGTTCACCAGCCAGGTGAAAAACGACCCCCTGAGATGTTAAAGTGGGTGAGGGGGAGAGTGTGACATACTCCAGTATACTGTAGGAAACAGCTCTATGTCCGTGGAGATCCTCAGCCATTCAGGTCAAGCACTTAGGATGTAGGAAATAGCCTTTTTTTTAAATAACTTCCTGCCTTTGACCCATGCTTGCCCTCTCCTGGCCCTCTTTTAAACATCACACTAAAGCCCTTTTCAACATGGGATATAGCAGTGTGTGCTGGCTTCGTCAAACTGTTAAAGGTGCATTAGATTTTCCACATTGTCTGATAAATTGAGGGAAAATGGGACAAGGTGTGTCTCTCAGCTGTACCACCCCCCCGTTCCTGTGCCTATGTGACAAAGACCTTGGCCTGTAGTTACGGATTAGCAGAAGGTGATGCTGTGCTGTGACCGTCTTGGCCTGTGTTCGCTCATATCTCTAAACATGACACAGCACATCTCTCACCTCATCCCTCATGTCTCTGTAAGTGCTCTCTCCGAGCTGTGACCACCTATGCTGCTGTCCTCTGAAATTAAATGCTCAGCTCCGCTTCCAACATCTGCTTAACTGAAAAGATGAGCTGCCCAGAGTCATTTCCATCAGCCTGAGTAAATAACGAGCCATGAAACCTTTCACCCTACCAGCTTCCACTCTCTGCTTGTTAACTTAAAGTGTAATCATATTACATCAAACTTGTAATTCATCAAAATGCACAACCAAAATCCTTTCTGCCATAACATTTACCATATATATTAGTTCAAATGTTCTGCTGTAGCATGCAGGTGACTGCGCATTTATTCATCAAAGACAGATTTTAGTGGCATTTGGTGCTCAGTAGGTGTTAACGTCTGAGCCCGCCCATCGGTGAGAGTGCTCAGTGGTGGATAAATTATTGACATCCATTACTTAAGTAAAAGTACTACACTGTAAAAAATTATCCATCCATCTAACTATTTATTATCTATACCGCTTATCCTGAATAGGGTTGCAGGGGGGCTGGAGCCAATCCCAGCTGACACTGGGCGAGAGGCGGGCGCCCCCCCGGGGTCTATCACAGCGCTGACATATAGACAAACAACTACACACACTCACTCCTAGGGGCAGTTTAGAGTAACCAATCAGCCTAAGCTGCATGTCTTTGGATTGTGGGAGGAAGCCAGAGTACCTGGAGAGAACCCATGCAGGCACAGGGAGAACATGCAAACTCCACACAGAAAGGCCCTGGGGCTCAAACCTGTGAGGCAACAGAGCTAACCACTGTGCCACTCCCATCACCAGGTCCCATGCTCAAAATCTTACTTTGCTGAAGTACAAATGTATTATGAGCAAATGGGCTTAAGGTATGAAAATCAAAAGTACTACAGTAGAAAGTGACTGTACCCAGGTAGATGATTGTTGGCAGTGTGGGAAATGAACAAATTCATCAGTTTTAGTTCTTAAACTAAATACGCTCTGAAAAACCGATTAGTGTTCTAGAAATGTTGTGGTTATGTGTGTTATGGTTTCTCTAGAATCCATCTGAAGCCCTGAATCATTCATAAAAGGACACTGTTAGCTATAGTTCCAGATGAGATTTTCAATGTAAAAATGTCTTGCAGCAGTTCATGTGAAATCTCATTCACTCATCCTCCCCGTGGCTGGCGGCCCACGGTCGGCTGCGCTTTTGATGAGCCCTGACTTAGACTGTGGCAGCCGTAGATTGAGATCATTCTTTGTCTAACAGACGTGTGCAGCTCCAACTCGGTCTCTGCATCCTGCAGCTGCAAATATGTTCTCAAACAAGGAGTGTAAGGTGTAAATCAGTAAAATGCATCAGGAAATCTGCCAGTGGCCCACATAGCAGGATATCATTTTTCCTGAGCAGTAAAACCCATGGCTTTGCATGAGATATCTTCAGTGAAAGTCCTAAGGATCAATGATTTTTATTCTGGTTGCTTGAAGGGCCACTGCAGTGATGTATTACTGCAGGTAAAGGTGATGGACGTGTAAGAAACAGATTAAATAAAGAACAGTCAAAATTAAAGCAGCAGAGGCCAAGACATCTGTAGCGTGAACCAAGTTCTGAAAACACTGGGTCCTATAATACAACTGGATATAATCTTTCATGGGAGTTTCGATTCCTGGTAAATTACCACATCTTACTCAGCAGTGGTGGAAAGCACATTTACTCAAGTACTGTGCTTATTTTAAGGTGCTTTTACCTTCTTCATTTTTTGCTACTTTCTATTTCCACTTCACTGCAATGCAGAAGCAAAAAGTACTTTTTACTGCACTACTTTCATTTAATTTCAGTTACTACTTTGTAAATTCAGATATTTTTGTCTTTTTTTCAGCTGCTAAAGCCAAAATATATACGGAGCCACATATATATAAAGTCACTACATTGACATTATCAAAATTGTCGCAGATTAATTGTCTTTGTCTTCACTAATTGATTAAGTGAATAATGTTACAGCTGGAGCAGTACAAAGGCAGTTAGTGGACTAGAAGCTTAAAGGAGTCTTATAAGGAAATATAGACGCAAGTCCCTCTAAAATGTTTTTGAATAAGTGTTTTTCACCCCTGTGCTTTGGCTAATCATTTCAGCATTATTAAATGTAAATATATTGCTCTGAGGGATTCCTGAGTTTAAGCTAAGTCAGCCCTGTGTTCAGTCAGAAATCTGTGAAGACATTGTGTAGTGTTGTCAGGCTGTATCTGATCAAGTGTTCTGCTGTGTTTTGGCTCTCCTTGTCAGAGATGTGGTACTGGGTGTTCCTGTGGTGTCTCTTCTCCTCGCTCTTTGTCCACGGGGCCGTGGGGCTGCTCATGTTAGTCATGCTGCAGCGCCACAAGAGGGGCCGACTCATCACGCTGGTGCTGGCCAGCGTGGGTTTCCTAGCCTCCCTCTCCGGAGGCGTCATCACCAGTAAGTCCAGCTAACTCCACTTTCAATTTAATTGTTTTTTGAGGCCAACCTCAACAGCATCCAGAATCCAGTCGACTACAATGAGACGAGAACAGAGCAGGATGTTGGGAGTTTCTTCACATCACAGACGTGAAATAAGATGTGTTGGTTCTATCTTTTTTTTTTTTTGTCAGATCTCTGTGTTGCTTCTTCACATTCATATTTGTGACATGTATCACGTACCTGACACTGTTACACTTTACAAAACTCTCAGATGTGTAACCTACAGGAATGCTTTTTGTTAATTTTGAATAACATCAACATGAATGATCACAGGGTGAGTAAATAGACCTAAATCACTACCGGTGTTGAGCAGGAGCTGAACACTTAAAAATTCAGCTGATATGTTTCATCAGGACTGTGTAGATGTGGTTTGCTCAGATTTGACTGACAGGGGCAACATAAGCAATGAAACCCATCACATTTTGATCTAAAACTAGCAGTGAAATGACAAATTAATTTTACCTTTTGTCAAGGGATGTGTTTCTGAGTGAAAAGAGATATTTGGAGTTGAGTTAAGAGGGATTTGATCAAGTTTTTCAGATTTGATTAGACCACACAAAATGGGCATGACTTAGGAATTAAATGGATGTAAGATAATTTCCTTGTTTGGAACCGTAGGGCTACAATTTAGGCTCTGACTTGTTTAGAACTACATGTGTTTACATTTTTTTCAAATTGAAATTAAAAGCATGCTGAATCTTCCATTAGCGGCTCCTGTTGGCAGTGTACTAATGGATGAACAGTCGTTAGTCACTGGATCACTCTGATACTTGAGATGTTAAAAACGTGCTGATTCTCAGGCAAGTTTTGATGGGTGTTTTTTCTCCCTCAGGTGCGGCAGTGGCGGGGGTTTATCGCGTAGCAGGGAAGGGCATGGCACCACTGGAAGCTCTGGTGTTTGGTGTGGGCCAGACCACCCTCTCTGTCATCATATCCTTCTCCCGCATCCTGGCCACTCTGTGAAGAAGACCTGTGACGAGATGAAGGATGGACACTAACATGGGAGTGAATGAATTGAGCCGATCAGACTTAAAGGTGCTCATCGTGGCTGGTTTGTAGAAGTAGAGGAGGCAGAAATGCTCTGGACCTTTAGGGCAGGATGCTGGACAGAAGATCCTCTGTTGTCCCTGGTCTGCTTCTGCCAGTCACACTGCAATTCAAAGGGAACTCAGTGCAAGCATCTTCATGTCAAAGAGCAGCACCAGGTTGAGACAGCGCTATCATCAGCTTCTGGACTTGAAAGCCATGTTTCAGGTGTTTGCCAGAGTCACATCAATTCTTTGTGCCAACGGCCTTCTCTGGGACATCCAGATGTCTTTGTGACTCTTGAAGGCTTTCTGTTGCACTCATGGGAAAAACTGTTTTTAAATAGTGAAACAACAGCGACGATCTGTAATAAACATCTCATGATCAGCATGAGAATAAAAGCTGAACAGTGAGGAGTGTTTAGAGAGTCACAACCCAACAATGTCCCTCATCAAAAAACACCTTCTTCATCAGTATTAAATATCAGCCTCACCTCTAGATCTTCACTAGGCTTGATGAGGATTGATGATCATGATTGTTCCTTTTACTTAAACAGCCTAAAAGCTGTAACATCCCACTCACGAGCAAGATGCAGCTTTGAATTTTGCACTTCGCAAATGTTGGAGATGCTCTTTGCCTAAGAAGCGTGAAATCTGTAGACGTGGAGAAGAAAACCAGCAGCGCTACATTTGTTCTGTTGTGTCAAAATACTGAATTGTAGTGTGCCAACAAGAACTCTGATTGCAGTTAAAGGAATGCTTTGACATTTATATAAATGAATGTCTGTACAATAAATATTAAGCTGGAACCAGGGAACAGTTAGCTTAGCTTAGCACAAAGATCGTGTATGTTTATCCATACAAAAAATGTAATATTTAGCAGATTATTGTTCTTACACTTACAGCAGTTACACATATTATATAAGGTATAATGTTTTAGGGCTACAACTAAAATTTACTGTATTTTTATCATCAATGAATCTGTCAGATTTTTTTCTCCTCTTAATCAACTGGACTATAAAAAATGGTGACATATACCCAGCACAATTTCATCTAAGAGACGTCTTCAGATGGTTTGTTTTGCACTGCCAACAGTCCACAGCCCAAAGATTATTAGTGTATTATCATGCTACTGTCAGATTCCTACATCTGAGAAGCTGTAACCTGAGAATTTCAGCTTTTTTTCTTTAAAAGTGACTCAAACTATTACTTGACTACCAAAATAGCTAACAATAAATGTTCTAACTAATTGATCAATTGTTGCAGCACTGAATATGTTAATTTATTAGCTTTAGAGGAACTGGTCTGCAGATTTATTATTTTTTTTTTTTTACCTCTTAACAGATTCATTCTAGTTCTTGCTCCCTGTTTCCAGTCTTTATGCTAAGCTAAGCTAGCCTAACTGTCTCCTGCTTCCAGCTTCAAATTACCATACAGACATAGAAGTGGTATCAGTCTTCTTACCTAACCTGCAAGAAAATGAGTATTTCCCAAAGTGCTTTATTTTTCCTTTAATGCAGAGAGACAAAGGCCTGGTCGAACCCTCAACAGTGCAGCCTTTAATTCAGGTCTGATTAGCATAAAATCAGATCTCTCTTATTCAGGTTTAAAGGAATATGTTTGGATATTAAAAAAGGATTGCTTTGTTGCTCTGACATATTTTCAGACAAACTATTCTGTGTCTGAGTCCCAGTGCAGATTTTCTGTAATAACGTTGGAATCCAGCACTCCTTGGTTTCTGCGGTGCTACTAACATTGTCTGCACCACCATGGTATAAATGACTCCCCTGAGAAGGTCAGACTGATTCTGCTGTTCAGATCACCATTTTTCTATGGCTCCTTTTTTCTTTTTGTTTTGTTTATCATCCCATGTTCCTCAAGTTTAACTTGGCATATTGCACAAAATTTAATCTGCCTTGTTTAGCACAGTGATGAGAGTACTCTGATGAGACTTAATCCAGATTTCACAGCTATTATACACAATAAAAGACTAATAATCTTGTTTGGGTAAGGCAGACTGTAAAGGATGAATGTGTCTGAGGAATGTGCTACTGAAACTACCTGTTTGAGTTCTTCACTGACAGTGTTGAAGAACAGAAAGATATACTGATTTTATGTAAGTTTAATGCTCATTACTTGGCCTCCAGGTCCCAGATGTAAAGGAGTTAAGTTGTAATGCCAAAGTATCATTCTAGCTTTATTTATAATCTGTCTCTTTTTATTGACTTCACATCCATGGCTTAGTTGTGTTGAAACATTTGCACATTGACTCGGGTGTCAAACAGCCCCCAGGCTAGTGATAAAAGTCTATGAGTTGATATGAATTTATCGAAAATAGTTGGTGTTTGTGTTGTTAAGTGTGTGCGCTGTGAGATTATGTAGCTCTTAAGGTAAACACTGTATTTATCAGTTATGTAATTGACACAGCTCACCTTCAGTACCAGCGTAGTGCACAGGAGGGCGATATTGCACAGAACTGAAGCACCAGCGAGGGCCAGAATGCTGAAAGATCATTGTGGATTTGAATATGGTGAAAGTGCTACAGAGTTTTGATACAGATCACATGTTTTCTGTCCAACCTTTCCTCAGCATTAAAGTGTGAAATTATGATATGGAAAATGAGAAGTCACCTGAAACCCCACTTTTTCTCCACTGAATGCTCTGCACACTGTCCAAACCTCTCATTTTGAATGTTTTAGCAAAATTTTCAGGGACCAAATGTGAGTTGCTGCTGATCACTCACCTGCTGTCATAGCAACGATTTCTCTGCAAAGCTGTTTGTGGGGCAGTTTCTGCATGTTTTATGTGTGTGTATGTATGATTCATAGGAAATGTGACGTGAGCCTTGTTGCTGTATTCGCTGTCGACCTGTGTGGTTGTGCATGTGAGTTGTAAAACAAATATTAATTTATTTTCTTTCATTAGTGCCGTTGTTTGCATTCCTCAGCGGACCCCTAAAGCGTCACAAAGGGTTAGGACCTAATTGTAGGCGACGCTGTTCAGAGGAGTCCTTGCAGAAGCTCACTGAGAAATGTCTTACATAATGTGTGAACAATGGCTTTTCTGCAGATGGACCTGCAAGGACTGGACTGAAGTTGTTAGATCAGTGCACTTACTGTACATCCTGAACTGTGTATAGCCATAATGTACAAAAAGTCTCCATCAGAAGATTGTGTGTCACAACCAACAGCCAATATGAACAAGCTAACCACTGGATAGTATTTTGTTATTCGCATTGTTGGAGTGCTTGCACCCAGTGCCGTGATCGGCCGGGAGGAGTATAGTTTTTACCCCACACCAACTTCAGCCAACGTGTGTGAAAAAGATCTAAGGACACCCAGCAAACTAATAAACACCTCTGGACTTATGAAAATGCCATCGCACTGCAGCAAGATTCCCAGCTCAATAATCCCGTCTCATTCACAGGCTTATAACTAAAGCTGCCCCCTCAGTCTGCTGTCGTCCAAATGCCACATCTTCCCTCTGGACACCGTGTACCTGCTGTGGCTGCCTGTGCAATGCAGCTCAGATAATGTGTGAACACAGTGTACGAACAAACCAACAAGAAACAATGTTGTACAAAACCCAACGTGGCACTTGTAGATAATGTACAATACGCTCTTTTTTTAATTTTGTACCAGCCAAAATGCTGATATTTATAACTATTGCCTACTTATGTACGAACTGTTCTCTTGTACATACTCAACAGTCAGTTGAAATAAAAAATCTTTTGCAGTAATGCTCTGGAGCATCATTTCTGTTTGTTAGTGCTTTATCTTCCAGTAGGGGCAGCAGTGACTGTATTCCTCCCTCCTGCATCAGTCTTTCGCAGGATTGCTGGTAGTAACAGACTTACTTTCTTTCCTTCTCAACCCTCTCTTCATCCATCTGCTGTCTTCCTTCTCTGTGTTCTTGTGGTCCACCATCACTCTTACTCCAATTTCTGGCGGCCTCAGCAGTCTTTCTTTCCAGGTTTTTGTTTGTTTCCTGTCCTCACCTCCCTCCTCTTTCCAATCATTACTTGGAAGTGAAACAGGATTGGGTTGAGGACAGAAAATGTTCTCTCACTTTAGTTAAATTCACAGCAAAGTTGTCGGTGTAAAAAAAGTTGAGGCTAAATTCTTTGAGAAAAGTTTTGGAATGAGCTACAGTTCCACGAAGGTTGGAAAATCTGCTGTGTGATGTGGATTCAGTCCAGTCTTCAAAAATCAGTCATGAGCCTGGAAGTGAGGAATGCTGTAAATTTTCCATTAGAGCTTGATTTATTTAAAGTGGACAAGTGTTGATCTCATCATTCAAAATTCACGTTGTTAACAAGATAATACTGTGAAATGAGTACTTTTAATATTTTTCACATATTAACTGCTAATACCTTTACTTATGAGTTTCAGTGCAAGATCTGTATGTAAATATGTTTACATAAACCAGTGTATTGGTACTATGGTTGAAGTAAAGGAGGAGCTGAGTACTTCTTTATATAATTTCATAACAATAAAAGGGGGCATTCTGCTTTCATGCTGAGTAGCCTATACTTAAAGTACACTTTACTGAAAATACTTTTATTATACTGTTACTCAAGTAAGATTTTGAATACAAGACCTTTACTTGTAGTGGAGTATTTTTCCACTGCAGTACTGACACTTTTACTTAATTAAAAGCTCTGTATAGCACCACCATCACCATCATTGAAGACTATAATGGCTTTAATCATGCGTACTGACTGATTGGTCAGTTTGTTGCCAATGGCGATATGTGTCTATGCTAACTGGTCAGTTTGGTGTCACGTGCAGTCAGGTTAGAGCTGTTCTGGTGGAAAAAAATGTAAACAGCAATGGCGGAACGTAGAAGATGGAAGGGGATTGTTCCAAAAGGCTCAAAGGGGAAACGAGAAGTAAGACTAAGAGTAACTTTACCAAAAAAAAAAAAAAAGTTAAATTGATTAAAAAAAATTCTAAATGACAAAAGGACAGGTGTTGTTGTATTACTCTGCTAAAGTTAAAGTCTCCTCAAATCTGTGGCAGCCAGCGTCCAGTGAGTGCCATTGAAGACAGCAACTAACTGTGGCCCTGCCAGAGTCAGACGCTGTCTCAGAAGTAACTGAAGCAAGTACATCCACTGTAGCGTCACCTGGAGAGACGACACTCAGGGCAGCTGTTAAGGACAGGACCAGAGATCCATACAGCACTGACCCAGGTAAAAGGTTGGGACAAAGTGGATCAGGAGACATGTCATAACAAACAAACAAAACAAAAATTATGTAGCCTAGTACTTTGTTGCGATGAAGTAAATTAGTTGCTTGTGGTGGGGGAAACAAGTTGAGAAAGAGACTAAGCCCAGAGGTCAGTGGCAGGGTTAAAATGGCCCCTGTCCAGGTCCCTGAACTTTTCTTACTGTCAGTCCTCAACCATCCACCAGATGCCCTCGGACAGACAGGAGGGCACTTGTTCCTAGTTTCCCCATTATCCTGCCAGTATTTAAGCCCGCCTGTTTCACCAGTGCCCTGCCAGATTGTGAGCATTTCTGTGGTTTGTTGTTCATGCTGTAGACATTTGTACTTGTGTTCCCACATCCCAGGGGGACTTTTTTCCAATTCATTTAAACCTTCTCACTGCATGTGGTTGGCTTTGTATCTGTGTTTTGGGTCCTCACTGCCTGTGCTCCCTACACCAAACTGGACAATACTATTATAAGTGAAGAACTGTGTTTAACTTTTAATCAGAAAAAAATGTGTCAGTTTGGCATTGTGTGTGCAAATGATATAATCAGTCATGAATTCAAACTGGCTGGTTCAGAATCAGCTTTCCTGGCCAAGTGTGTTTCACATACAAGAAATTTGGCTCTGGTTTTTGGTGGCTCTGAATGTACTTTCACAATAAGACAGCATCAAGCTGGCACACAAAGACCAGTTTGTGAATCTATTATTATTCACTGTGCTGCAGCGTCTGCGGTCCTTGGGGTCAGACACGTCAACTCCAGGCGCTGCTTGTCTCTTGGTGGCACCGGGCTTGCTGACCTCCTGGCGTGGCTGCAAGCCACTCAGGCATTTCACTGTGTTGTACGTGCGCTGCTGCAGCAACCATTCTTAGAGAAACAGATGTTGTGTTTTGTCTGTTCCGGACATAAGAAAATTGGCTGTTTTCACTTGGTGGTGTGATACCCAAAAGTCCTTTCCAGTACGTGATGCATCATCTGTGTAATGACAGGGGCAGGACCTCCAAAAACATTTTGATTGTATGACTCCATGACTGAATACAATTTAGAGCCGGATACAGTTGCTTATTCTCGTATCTGATTTGACATTTCATTGCTGTTCCAGCCCTGTAATGTGCTTTATTCCCTGACTTGAAAGGCTCTGGGCTTTTTTTGGACAGACATCCAAACCTCCGCACAGCCAGTTGTGTACTGTGTGATGTTAAATGTAACACTATTATACTGCACAGAGTGTGGGAGTCTGTGAAATATTGTGTTGGAATTTAATCAGCATACTTGTAGATTCAAAAGGACAAAGGTCCTGAGTTGTTATCACATTGTTTTTTGTTATTTTATACTTTATTGGTGGAGAACTGAGGCTGTGACTGGTTTCCACTCAGCTGAGCAGAGCTGATAAGAGGTCAGTGGTTGCTTATGAGAGCAGGAAGTGTTTTATAAGAGGCCAGGGAATGTGGCTCTGGTATTTATAAGTATTTGATGAGCATTGGTAAACTGGGAAAAAGCAATAGTGCACTGTACAGCATGACTGAAACACTGCAAATACAGTATGTGAGTCCTGCATATACGCATTAGTGTGTGTGTTCATGATGTCTTTGTGCCTTATCTTCCCTTTAACTGCACCACATTTGAAGACACTAGGCAGATAAAAGGAGGTGGTACAAGAGTTCAGTTTTGTTCAGGGAGTGAAAGGTTAATGGGGATATATACTAAGGTTTTGCAGCTTATTTTCTGGTGCTGAATAGTGAAATTGTGTGTTCCTATTTACTAAGAAGTCACAGTTAGCTTTTGTGCATGAAGAAATGCAACACTGCTGAAGGTTGCATGCGTGGCCTCATCAATATGTGTTATAAGGTGTTCCTGTTTAGGAATGCAAAAATGGGAGCAGAGAACATCAATTTATACAGATACCCTCAGCATCTGATTTACCACTGCTGTGGCAGAGGAATTTGTGTTAGGAGAAGGGTTCCCTGATAGACCAGTGGTTAGGGTGCAGCGCTCTTGCCGCTGTGGCCCGGGTTCGAGTTAGGGTTGCGTCAGGAAGGGCATCTGGTGTAAAACGGTGCCAAAGGTCAACATGTGGTGACCCCTAATGGGAAAAAGCCGAAAGTAACATTCATTTAAGTAGGTTTAAAATTTGCGTCACTGATCTTAGCATAGAGACGCTGTCAACGTTTAATATACATGAGGAAGGAGAGGATGCCTGTAAATCGCAGTTTTATTTTTGGAGAGAGAATGGGAGGCACCTTTACATACTTGTACGCCATTCCTCAGTTACTGAACGAAGTGAGAGATGGTAATGTCAAAGCCTGGATTCAAGCCTTTTGAAAGCCACCTGACACATCTGTTTTTTTAGACGAGGTTTATGACACAATTTCGACACACCAGTTGTGTGACTGCTGCAACATTGTTTTGCTGTAGCCTGCTGGTTCTGCTATAGCTGCAGTTCAGCTTTTTTGCCAGCAGTCTGTGCACAGCCAGTGTTGGGAAAGGTATAGAAACATTGGTTGTTTCAAGTGTATCAAAGCAGTTCAGAAGAGTCGAGATCATCTTCTCTAAATGAAAGATCATTTGGCTGCACAAAATTGCAGTTTGAAAATACTGTATGTTTGTTGGTTTCTTCAAACATTGTTGAAGTTCAGAGACAATAAACTTTCACTTCCTTTCTATGCTCCACCTTGGCCCACATGTACAAAATAGACCTACAGCACCGTGTGCCTATAATTCAAATTAACTCTGTTGTGACTGTGCTCATTTCCATCATTAGTGTTCATAGATACACCGCAAAATTGAAAAATTGTTGTGATGCTTTATTTTAACCCCTGATGACCCGTTTGTGACAGGTGTGGTAAATATCCCTCCAAGTGTCTAAATTCCTGTCATAAATCTTGCAGAGATATCTGTGTTTATCTGGAACATTTTTATCTATGATTTATCTTAAAAAGAAAGTTTTGGTGTCATGAAGGTGGCCTTTGATGCTCAGCTCTCTAAAGCACTGTTGCATCATTTCCACCTGCAGGACAGGCATGTTACATGTATATCAATACATCCTGGGTATATTATTTGCAGCTTGTCACAACTACTTTGCATATCAAAATATTTAATCATGAACCCAAAACCCATGAACTTCTGAGAACTGCGCCTTCACTGAGCCACTCGCTGCTATTGTCTTATTGTTTCCTCCCCAGGAAATACTCAAGAGTTGAGCGCGAGTGCAGACAAGGGGATTGCATGCTTACTTTGAACAAAACACCC